GTGGCAGCTGCACGCTTGACTTTTCTCAGTTCATGGGCAGTTATTTTGCGCCTTGGTTTTTCCACACGCTTCTTGCGACCCTGTTGACTATTTTGAATGAAACGCTTGATTGTTCGATGATCACGCTTCAGAAGCTTTGCAATTTTAAGAGTGCTGCATCCCTCTGCAAGATATCTCACTATTTTTGACTTTTCTGAGCCTGTCAAGTCCTTCTTTTGACCCATTTTGCCAAAGGAAAGGAAAAGCTAATTTTATGCCTGGTTCTCCTGTCACAATCCGAGCATGTGCCATAAATCATGAGTGAATAGATGGCACAGACCACCAAGTGTGATCCCATATTTGTGCTCTGAGTAGGTGGTGTCGAAAAACCACGTACAAATCCACACTATATGCCTTACAGTTGGGATTGGTTTCATTTATATCTAATGCCTGGTTCTTAAGGCACAACCAAGGCATACCATGTAAATAAATTTAACTGTGCATCTGAGAACTAAATGACATTTCCCAGGACATGTGAAGTATAAAAACACACTTATCTATACAGTACTTACACCGTATTAAATACTACAGTCGAATTTAACGAGGTGAACGAGTGAGGAACTGTCACTTTTAGTGAACGGACAGTTCTGCTTTAATTTTTCATAACTGCCCAATCCATGTAAACTGGGTGATTGGTAAAGAAACCCCTGCTGGGAAAGGACACGTAGAGAGAGATTGCCTGTTGGTGTTAATTACAATTGACCACCAAAGATTCATTTCTGTAATCTCGTTAAATGAGCAGAAATGGCACATAGTAACGATTGTAATTCTTGAAACTAGATAGCAACTTTTAGCGTGTAATACAATATATACACATTTTAAACAAGATTTTAATATGTAAAATTACTATTTTTCTTTTTCTTTTTTAACTCCTATTACCCTTCTATTTTTTAGGCATATCATTTTTGCTCCAAGTAGCCATAACAAGTATGCAGGGGAATCATTTCCTGGAATCTACGATGCTTTGTTTGACATTGAAAATAAGCACGATCCGCGAACAGCTTGGGAAGAAGTAAAAAGACAAATTTCAATCGCAACCTTTACCGTGCAGGCTGCTGCCGAGACTCTCAGGGAGGTTTCTTGAATATCATCAGTTGAAGTTACAGAGCAAGTGACTTAAGAAACTAGCAGCTATTTAACATGAAAAACTGAAAATAAATCTGTTTGCTGTATGATACATGTGTAAATCACTGTCAAGATCATTTAGATGAGTTTCTTGTTTGGCATTGGTGCAATAATTCACAGTATTTTTCAAGCTATTTTGTTTCACCACTTCTGAAATTATACGCTTGGACCACGATCAAAGTCTTTCACTGGTTCCAGGGGAATGTCGAATGCTGATGTATATATGAAATGTCACGTTTTATTTCTATGCAATATGTACTATTAAATATTTTTTAAGTGAATACACAAATCTTTTTTGGGGGGGGGAATAGGGGGAAAGGCTGTGGGTGGGGAGGAGATGTTTGGACCTTGGGAATATTTGCTGATGTTGGAATTTACCAATGCACATAGGAGCACAGTGCATTCATAATGATGTGTACGGAATGTGCTTGCGATGAGGCATGTCTTTTGACGTTTTACAATATCTTGGTAGAAATATCAAAATATTGTCAAGGAGAGAGAACTCCTAAAATTAAAATTTATGTTGCCGAGCTTTGTATCTTTGTGTTAAGTGACTCCTATGTCCAGAAAACTTCCAGGCTAAACATGGCAGCATCACTTATCGGTAGCTCCTTCCTAGCTTAAGAAACAGAAATGATTAATTACACAATTAACAACGGAAATCTCGCTCCTCTCAAATTATGTTCTAGTTGAGAGGCAGAGATGATTGTACTATTTTTTTTTTCTGGACTCACTATCAGCCTCTCTACCTCTGATGGAACCAGTAAAACAGTCTGCCTAAGCAGGACTAACTGGTTCAGGTTTCTTTATATTAAGAAACTGCTATGAGGGAATATTATATTGTCTATTTCCTGAAAAAAAACAGCCGGCACAGTTATGGAGCCTGTATATTCCCTCCCCCCATCAGCCAGGGGAGTGTGAGATGTCACCCTAGTTTTTCTGGTGTGCCCGCAGTATTTGGGGTTCTGGGGACAGTTTTCTGCCCCTCTCTTTATTCCTGGCCTCTTCTATGAGGGCGGAGTGCCGGTTTTCAGAATCCTCTTGGGCCATCAGTGATAGTGTTTCTTCTCTCTGGTTTCTGCATTGTGGTTGATTCCAAAATGACCACTCCCTCTATGATGAACTCATAGGCGTGCGCAGCCTATTGCATTAGGGTGTGCACCCTAAAGCACAAGCACACGCCGTATATATATATATATATACACATATATATACATATATACATACACATATATACACACATACACACACTGCTGTGTGTGTGTGTGTGTGTGCTGTTAGTGTGATGTGTGTGTGACGATGCTGGTAGTGTGCTATGTGGGTGAGGGTGTTTGTGTGTGCGTGCTTGTGAGGATGCTGTTAATGTACTGTGTGTGAGGGTGCAGTTTGTGTGTGTGTGTGTGCGCTTGTGAGGGTGCTGTTAATGTACTGTGTGTGAGGGTGCTGTTTGTGTGTGAGGGTACTGGTAGTGTGCTGTGTGTGTGTTTGTTAGGGTCCTTTTTGTGTTTGTGAGGGTACTGTTAGTGTGCTGTATGTGTGTGTGGGTGCTGTATGTGTGTTGGTGCTGTATGTGTGTGGGTGCTGTGTGTGTCTGTGGGTGCTGTATGTGTGTGGGTGCTGTATGTCTGTGGGGGCTGTATGTCTGTGGGGGCTGTATGTCTGTGGGTGCTGCATGTCTGTGGGTGCTGCATGTGTGTGGGTGCTGAATGTGTGTGGGTGCTGTGTATGTCTGTGGGTGCTGAATGTGTGTGGGTGCAGTATGTGTGTGGGTGCTGTGTGTGTTGTATGTGTGTGGGTGGGTGATTGTGGGGGGTGGAGGTGGGGGTACATTACTTGCTATCCCCCCTCCCTTCTTACCTTTTGTAGGGAGGGGGGATCGTGCTGCTGCTTCCTTCCCTGGTGGTCCAGTGGAGGAGGGGATCCTTGCTGCTGTGATCCCTGGTGGTCCAGTGGAGAGTGAACTCTAACCCCTGTGGGGCTAGAGTTCACTCTCGCGAGATTTGAGCGTTGCCGTGGCAACGCTCATATCTCGCGAGAGGAACCCGGCGGAGCTGCGGCAATAGCTCCGCCGGGTCCTCTCCTGCCTCCCTCCCTGCATGTGGGTCAGTGGGGAGGGAGGCAGAGAGCAGAGCCGGCGCTCGGATAGCGCCGGCTCTGCATGAGCCGACAAGGGAGATCCTGAGATCTCCCCTGCCGGTCTCAATATACATAGGCGGGCCGCGGGATTAGGGTGTGCCCAGGCACACCCGGCACACCCCGTGCGCACGCCTATGGATGAACTCATCTGAGTTCTTGCACATACGCAATGTAACAGCATCTCAGAGCGTCGTCCACACATGTGACAATGAACAAGAGGGAAAACTTCAATAGCTTCTCGGGCTGTGATTCTAAAGCCCCTGATGGTAAGAACCTATGTTTTCAAAGGCTGGAAGAAGTGGCAGAGACAAGCCGAAAGGAGCTCCCCGCAATGGATTAAATTTTTTTTTTTTTTTTTTTTTAAATGGATATCTCAAGCTTTTGTGGAATGCGTCCAGTCTGCTACCAGGAGATTGGCAAAAGAACCAGAAGTAGCCCGGTCTCTGCAGAATCCAGCCTTGAGATAAGTTCCTACAGGAATCTGACTTTTTTGTATTCGTTTACTATAACATAAACGAAACGAAAAATACAGAATGCATTCGTTTTCATTTCAGTCCTTTCGTTTTATAGACTAACACTGCACATACGCAACAAAAATCCAAGGAGGGAGCCGGCAGCACTACCAGCTCCCTCCTTGTAATAAAAATTGTAATAACTATTCCTACCCTCTCCCAAGCATAAAAAACTATGGGGGTCACTATGATCCCTATATTTAAAAAAAAAAAAAGGGAGGTTAAATCCTCCATCATGCCCCTACTCGTGCCATGCCGCAAGTAGGGGAATGTCGCCTCAACAGCGAGTAGCCCGTGGCTGCTCACTGTCATTTACAACTACTGCCCAGTCGCTAGTGCAATAAGGGGGGGAAACCAAATAACTAAAATGGGGGGGACATAGTGCCCCCCCGCACTCCAACCCATGACCCACGGTTGGGAGCTATTAATATAAACGGGGGACCTAGTATGCCCCCTGTGACCTGGGTGAGGGCCATAATTAATTAAAGGGGGGGGGACCTAATGTCCTCCAAGTCCCCACCCATGACCGGCAGGTGGGGACCTTAAATAATGAGGGGACCAAATTACCCCCCCCCCTGGTCCCAACCCATGAGTGGCGGCTGGGGACCCTAATTAAATAAATAATGGTGAGGACCTAATGTTGCACCCAGTTCACCACCCATGAGCGGCAGGTGGTGACTCTAAATAAATAAATAATGGGTGGGACCTAATGTTCCCACCCATGAGCGGTGGGTGGGGACCCTAATTAATTAAAGTGGGGACCTAATGTCCTCCCTAATCCCCACCCATGAGCGGTGGTAAGGACCCTATATAAATAACAAGGGGATCTAATGTCCCCCCCAGGTCCCACCCATGAGAGGCTAGTGGGGAACCTAATTAAATAAATAATAGGGGGGGACCTAATGTCCCCCCAGGTCGCCACCCATAAGAGGCGGGTGGGGACCACAAATAATGAAGTAACTAGAGGTCCTCAAGCTAATACCCTGTAAAATAAAATGCCATACTTACCATTAGATGTCTTCTTTCTTCTTTTCTTTCTTCAGCCCCAAGAAAGGCCAAATAAAAATCTATAATACCCATCGAACCTATAAAAAAAAAAAAAGCGTAGGGGCATGCGGGAGGATTTAACCTCCCTTTTATTAATATGGGGGTCAGAGTGACCCATATAGGTTTATGAGGGGGAGGGGTGGAATGGCTAATGTTTATTACAAGGAGGGAGCTGGTAGCGCTGCCGGCTCCCTCCTTGTATTTTTTTTGCACATGCGCAGTGCTATTTTCGTTGAAATTTTTATTTAGTAGACATGTGCAATTCATTTTGGTCTGAATTTAAATTCTGCCAAATTTCAGTAATTCGGCTGACTTTCGGAAGTGCCGAAGTGCTTTGGATTTCTGAAAAGTGACAAAACAGGAGAGGGAGGGAATGATGACAGAAATCTAACCCTAAACCTACCCTAACCCTACTTCTACCCCTAGCCCTAACCCTTGCCCCAACCTTCCTCTAACCTGAACCCTAACTCTTACCCCAACCTTCCCCTAACCTTAGGTAATTGCCGATGTCCCGAACTTAGGAAATACCGAACAAAATTTTTTGCCCATGCACATCCTTATTATTTAGTACGAAATCATTCGTACAAAACGAAAATATTTCACTGGTGCATATGTCTAAAATCTATCGACTCAAGAAGGTGTATAAGTTAATAGACTTGGTCAGAAATACTCTAAAGATTCCGGAAGAGAAAACTGAAACATCTGCATCTGACATATAATTTGAGGACCTATGAGCTTCAAATTCTACTTTTCCTATCCATACTACTATTAAAGATCGTATCCATCCAGAACAAATATTGTCCATTCAATCTAAGGCAGCAAAAATATACACCTTTTGTCCAAAGGAGTCTAAACTTTGGAGTATTGTTCCTAAGGTAGATACTTCAGTCAAGGCTTGCAAAAGAGACTATAATCCATAATAAAAGCATGGCATATCCGAATTTTATATTTCTCTTGTCATCCAGAGAAAGTAGTTTGTATTGTACTTTATATTATACTTAAATGTTTATATTATACTTTAATGTTTCACAGACAGACAAACGCTGTTATATTATTTCACTGGAATAGGAATTACATGCGTCTTTTACCTTTGGAATTTTTGGTTCGCTACAATGAATAAGTGTTAGTAGACAACTGCTGCAGCAATCAGAGTCCCCAAACAATGTTTAAAATGCTACATTGATGTACTGTATTTCACTGCATTTATATAAATGTGTTGCTTCTAAACTTTGGTATTAGTGTGATTTATTTATTTTTAGTATACTTTTGGTTTTATTATTTTTGTTATAAATAAAATTAGTTTTTATCTCTGAAGATTTTTACCTGGAGGATCCATACATCGGTTTCCTAGGTGGGGAAGATGCTATATAGGATTAAGGATAACTTTACTGTTCTCTATGTTTGTGTATACCTCTTTTTATTATTTTTTAGCCATACAGAGAGCGCTATCTTCTGTTTTTAGTTTCATTTTATACGCTGGTGAACTCTCACTGTGATGAAACGGCATATTGAAAGAGACCACGTCTATAAAGCTGACCACCACACGCTGCTGATCGACCTAAGGATACCTTTCCACATATGATTAAGACCGAGACCAAGATCAGCATATCCACAGGCGGGGATTGTACCGTCCAAGCACAAGTGCATTTCCTTTATTTTATTTTTAATCACCAGCATCAAAAATACTACACTACATTCTGTTTTATTTGTCCTTTGTTTGTTTTTTTACATATCGTTCAACATTTGAGTTGAGGACACTTGTGAATATATATATATATATATATAAATAAAGGAAAATTCTGAGAATGTGAATGAATATAAATAATTAAATATAATACAACCTGAGGTGTATACTATAAAATCTAGGATAGGAAAAACACAAATATAGTGTAATACAGCTACAAATAAAATACAGTGAAAGGGGAGGTAGAGAACTCACAAGATCTAGGTAAGCTTTAGGCATATCGCTCCATAAGGGTATCTATATAGCAGTACTGTCTTATTCCAAAGGTAATCTTGTAGTATACTCTATTAGTATAAAGGAAATATTTTTGGATTGAGCGTCCCAACCGTGCAAACTTGCGTCGGATTTGATTATCAAATCTGGAGCTGTAAAGAATATGGCGCATTCATTCCAAGCTTCCATGTGAAGAAGCCACCATTGGAGTTCATCCATCGCTGAGTTACCATATCCATGTATGATGCGCTGCCCTTGAGATGAAGCTTGTAATCATTGTAGGGCTCGATAGCCAAGAGGACCTGGAAAAATGTCCTGTATAGATGCCGCTAGAAGGCTGTTAAGAATGCTGGTATCCCGAATACACGTTCTTCCAGAAACTCCCGAATCGGCTAGGGACTTTGTAATTATAGCCCTGTTTGCCTGGAGCGCTGAGTCGACTGTTACCGAAATCCTAGCGAGCAGAGAGGAGAAATCATTGCAACACAGTATTCGCATACCCAAACATCAGTCGAAACTAGATGAAGGGTAAAACAGGAATGTTTTATTCGGGCCAGATGGCCTGCTTTTATGCAAGTCAGGATACATAACACATGCCCACGGGAAACCCACAAGACACCCACATGAAATGCTGAGTCACCGTGAGAATATGAAATATTACAGTGTAAACATATCCAAACCCCCAAACATATTATATGTCCAGATAACTGGTCTCAGAGCGCTCAATCAGGAAAAATAGCGAAACGCCACCGAGGTAAAGATCCGACCGCGCACGAGGCGTATGCCCACAATAGTTCCATAAGTTCAGTGGTCGCAGTCGGTCCGTCTGAAAATCACCAAAATGACCCAAAAAGGTGAACTGTCTTTGAGTCTCGGTAGTAGCATTGGCGCAATGGGGTACTGGGAGCAGCCACACCAAATAACGGTCTCTGGACAAATTGAGAAAAGGTAGAAGATGCCCCAGGGAATCGCGCGGTCGATTGTCCGGCCTAGAGTACCAGACACGCGACGACCAAGTCCCACTGTCCGTGTTCTGGGGACAAGATGCCCGCAACTGTCTCTAGCACGTGGCAAGCCATATAGCAGGGCCCTCGTGAAACTCTGGGTCTGCAGTAATCTGCATGTTTGCTGTAGACCCAGAAGGCACAGAACGAAACCCATTTAGATTTCAGGCAGTTGGGGGCAGAACAGCAGCCAGACAGATAAATTAAGGGGGGGAAAAAGAGGGATAAAGATCCTCAAAGATGTCCCTGAGCCCCAATTGATTGTAATCTTGGGGCAGGGGGGCCAGGGAGGTCAGAGGGGAAAGAAATTATGAAAGGATATACAATAAAGCATATAACTGAAGTAAATAAATCAAATTAAGTTAAAAGTAACTAAATATATTTATAAATAGGAAAGTATTATAATTAAAATGTAATAACTATATTAACCACAGTAATGATATGAATAAAAGTAAAAGATTCCACAGTTAAGAACCGTGGGACCCAGTGTCACTTAACTGAGGTAGCAGCAAAGAAAGAGGAAGTAGTATACTGGACACTGTCTATGCTAATTGGCTGTTCCTGTTGCTAGAAAGATATATCTCTCACGTTATTTACTGGTTTATTTTTATACTGATTTAATGTTATTTTTCTTTGTTTCTGATGGAAATAATAGGAGCCTCCGTGTCTTAATAAAATTGCATTTTAATCAGTTTGGACTATTACAATCGAGATCCAACAGTCTCTGGAAGCATTATTAACATCTCACCATGTTTATTAGTGAAGATAGGTATAGTTAGGTTAGATTTAAAACTGTATTTTGGTATGTGCATTATTCTTTAATCTGTATTGTGTATGTATGTTCTGAGTGTGCTCCCAATTCCCTTTTTTTGCTGTGTATCATCCAGATCCAGATTTTGGTTTTGTGGTTTAGGCCACCCTTGAGGGTATTATGCTTCTAACATAGGGCAACAGGTAGGGTTTCAGCATTCCAATCTCCCCACATGTAAAGGAATGTTCACACAAACAGTTGAAGTTGATTAGTAAGGAAGACTTACATGTTCCTGGGTCTGTTGTCCAACCCATGTGTTCCCTGTCAAGGGTTAATACGTTTGTAAAGGTTTAGGAAAATACATCTTTCAGTCTTATTAAAGATGTTGCTATTTAAGCAAGGTGAATTGTTAGTGTAATGAGTCACCTGGTATGTTTGACTTGATGATGGTGTGGTGGTGGTGGTGGTGGGGGGTGTGTGTGCTTGTGCGTGTGCGTGTACATATATATATATAATTTATTTATTTTTTTCCTTGTATGCGAAAGTCATGAGTGTGCACATTCTCGAGCATGGTCAGTGCACATAACTGAAATGGGAGGTTCATGGAGAGAAGGATAGGAGAGAGAAGAATACAAGGGGGCCAGAGAAACTCCCCAAGTTCAGAGGTATGCCCCAGAAAGGAAATAGTTTAGTAAGTTTTTTTAAAAGATTTGTTACATACCTTACAAACTTTTCTTGATTTATTTTACTTTGTCTACTTTGGTTTAAAAAAAAAAAAACAAAAAAAAAAAACAGACAAGTGATACAGGTCCCTTTAATTATAAAGTCTATTTTGAATGACGTACCTTTTTTTTAAATTCTTTTTTTTGTTGTGTAATAGACAGTTTGGCACTGCCCCAGCAGCAGTGGCAAGATACGTAGCATATACATTTATGGTGCAAAAACAGAGTGGTAGACCGCGCCACAGAGGAATTAGAAATATTTAAATAAAAAAAGGGATATATACATACATACGGGGTGTTCCAACAATATAATAGTAGGCAAAAACCTTTAGGAGAAATAAATTGAAACAATAATAGTGCAGTATGTCAATATAAAACAACTTTTAGATAAAATATACGGGAAACCAGTAGAAAAGCTAACTCACACTTTCCAGAGCTACTAAGAGCTCTACTGTATAACGCCTGGGCGGTATAATCCCCGTCTTAGGATATAGGAATAGTAGTGAGGTGTAACTTCCAGAGCTCCACGATTGTGCATAGAACAAAAGAACACAAATAAAATCCAATAGTGTAGTATGTCTGATAAATAGTATATAACAGAAAAGGTAAGTAGCTTACTTACAATTTCCAGAGCAATAAACTTGCTCTGGTGATAAAGGCTTGTGGTGGTATAATCCCCCCCAGAGGATATAGGCAGGATCCAAAGTGCACCAGGAACAGAAGGTATACCAAGGAGAAGAGTAGGAGGAAAAACTACAACTTTATTAATAAAAAATAATATTAAAAATTCTATATATAAAAGTCCAGCATCCAGTATCTTACTCCACTTTACGCGTTTCGCCCTAATCATGGCTTCTTCAGAAGTTATAATCATAATATACATTCATACAGTATATGGCAGTCTATAATACAGCACATTTTTACTAAGGGTAAGGTTTGCTTTCAAGAGTGGTACATACAGGCTAAGAGACATTTTAGCTAATAATCACGAGAGTATTCATTTATCCAACAAATGTCATGAGAGACATTGAACTTTTTATGGTACAGAACATGCTAGGCACTTAGGCCGGGTCTGGATGTGCCAGGTGTCTCGGAGCCGGATTGGCTGTGTTTCTTCATGGTCGTGTACTGGATTTAGGTGGATTAGAAGTTTTCTTGCAGTGGAGTTTAGCCATCTTTAGGTTTCGGCTTATGGGTTTGTAAACCCGTGGGAGACGTTGCCATCTTCAGCACCATGGTCTGGCCCTCTGTGTTCGAGGGTGTGCGCGGCCGTGAAGGGAGTGTGTTGGCTGCACCATAGGGGAGTGCTCCTCATGCTTGTGGCGTTTGGCCTGCTGCTCCCTAAGTGCCAATTTTCTCCAGAAGGCATTGAATAGGTCGTCCAACCTAGTCTACAAGTCAGGCTGCTCTTAGTTGTGCTTGGGAGCACACGTGGCTTCCGCCATGTTGCTTGACTCAGCCAGTACATTCCGCTTGTGCAGCAACATTGTTTGGGTTCATTACAGGTGGGTTGCCTCTCAGGAGCAGACCGGGTTAACCCCTACCGGTCCGGGGGAAACTACCATGGAAACAGACCATTAAATTCAATTCAAATATTACCAAGAACAAAAGAAAAATTAGATGCAAGTAATTTTTTACAAATACTACAACTACATTGCCTACATACAGTTAAATGCATGACACTAGGAAAAGGAAAGAAAAATTAGAATGCGGTAAAAATAGTTTCTGTTAATATTTCACAGCATCTCTTACATCAAGGCAATAAGTTATTGAAATTTGGAAATA